ATACTCTTGGAAGTCAAGCTTCCTCTGTGCAAGGTGCCGTGTGACCCGTCACAGTAAATGAGTAATCGCGAGAATCTCCTTGAATAGCTTTTTGTCGTCAATACTGAGCTTGTCATACTCTGTCTGATTGATATGTTGCTTAAAAGCAAGTGTTCGAATCATTGACTGTAGCGGATCACAGATTACGCGCTTTGGACCATATTTACGACGATTGAGTCGGACAATCACAACGGTTTTGACATCAAGATCAAAAATTCTGATATACTTACTACCCAGCTGACGATAGATGCTGATGGGGTGGATAAACCTTGGATCTCATTGAGGTTGTATGTTCTCCCGCGACGGACAAATCCTTCAAGCGGAGAGACACCGGCACCTATTAATCCACGAAGCTTCCTCTTAAGCCCGGACCCCACGCCTGTCGTCCATACCTGATCGACCATGTAATCTCCATTTTGGCGAATCGTGCGCTTGTCTTGTCTACCACTGAATTGGTCAACCTCGGTATAGTTTTCAGCATCGGAGTAGCTTTTACCCTTGATTTTATAGACAGCCTTGGTCGCTTTCATGGCAGTGGTTGCCGCCTTCAACGCTGATCTTGCAGATTTTAAATTCCTTTATTACTCGCTTCGCATCATCGTAAACCCCTTTGAGCTTCACCATACTTCAGGAATGCGGCTTCTGATTCATCGTGGAGTTTTTGCAAAGTGTCATCGCGATATTGGAGACCTCCAGAGAATTTAATTCAGGCTGATGTATCTGTCGATTTTGTATTGTCGAGGATCGCTCGATTCAATTTAAAGATTAGCTTCGAGATCTGTTTTCAATGCTGGATCATCATTCTCATAAACGTATCGCTTTAAATCTCCAAACCCGGTCGTCAGGCAATGGAAAGTGTCCATCCATCTAATAATTTTCACAAGATTGTTATTTACCTTGCCATATACCGCTTTGTTCTCGTGCTTCCTAATGTAAAATGGTTTTGCTGCGGTAGGCTCACTAAAGTAGTAATTTTGACTAGCTTTCACACCACTTTTGGTATCTACCGTTGGTTTTAGTCTAAAGGAAATTCGAACCACTTCATATGCTATTTTGCTGTAGTAGTCCACGAGAATCTTCTGCGCATCGTTATCAGCATTAGTTAAAAACTTTTCATATCTTCATCAATTTCATTCTTAAATTCATGGCGAGTCTCACCATCGCGTGGCTCAACGACATTTGCAACTTTGGTGGTGTATTTGGTAGTAAATAGATCGATATCGTCACGATCTTTCACTAAATCGATAAATTCTTGTAAAGTTGATCTGCAATCGAATTTTTTTTAGTAATCGCTGGCTTGACTCTCCCACTGTCAATATTAAATACATTAATTGATAAACCTTCAATCCACACGTATCCAGTTTTGTCCATCTGAGATGTTTTACCCATGCTCTTGAGGATAGGAATGATTTTCCTTTTCAAAACAGCCGACTTAACACTGCCTTATTCTTGAAAATAGACCATAGGAATCAATCAATTCTTACTATCAATCTGATCTAATGAGGTTCAAGTCGGTGTGTCAAACTCAAAACTATCTTCAAGACGTTGCCTTGAGCGGAATGCATAATCTACTCCACTTGGATCGGCGATTTTTCGTATTTGCGTTAGTGAAACGTGATCAAGAGGGTTTTCAAGTCTCACATAACTGCTCTCATTGATTGCTTTATTTTTGCCATCATACCAGATCTCCCTAATCTTCTCCTCTGTAACCACCCCATCAATCGATTGATAAGCTTTACTCTTTCTACCCGTTTCGACTGCAATTAATGACCCCTTTCACAAAGAAAGTATCTATTGTCATCCTTACCAGTTCTACGCTTAATTGGCTTGATTTGAAGCGCTACCCAATCAGGATTGGCGTTAAACAAATCCTTAGCCCATGATCGCGCCTCAACTTTATCTTCGGTATCCAAATTTTTCATGTTTGTTTCAGCATCTGATATTCTTGGAGTATTATCGATAACAACATCAGCTGTTTGCTGTGTGTTATCGAAACCAACATCAGATGTTTGAGGTCTCGCTTGGATATTTCTATCAGTTTGGTAAATACGATCAGTATTTGTTGAGAAAATGGCAAAAACCGAAGTGAATATATTTAGGTCTTTAGTTTGCTAACTCTGTGCACCTAAGCCCGTCTTCTAGATCCTTCTGGAATCTTTTTTATGTAATCTTATTTATCTAGACCGATGAACGACTACCATTATGTTCGTAATCAGCATCCGTAATCATGACAGTAATTGTAAACATGACCGGAATTATTGTGACATCATCCACATGCATTCAGCGGTGTAAACTTCCACTCACCGCTAATGCTGAGTGTGCTTTGTTACTGACTTGGTGTTTATGCCTGTTGCCTCTCGCAGAAACTTGAGCATCTTGGTCCTAAGTGCCTTGGTGAGCATATCTGCAAGCTGACGCTTTGTATCGATGTAGACAATCTTGAGTAATCCATGCTGAACAT